TAACTCGAAAGTAATGCTTGGCGAGTTTCACTCGCCAAATGATGCAATTGAGTTAATAAGTAGTGGTAGTCACAAATAGCTTACTTTTTTTAAAATAAAAGTGACGTAATGTATTTACTACTACCACTTTATATTTCCTTGAAAGCACTGCTCCTTCCATTTAAGAAAAAAAATATTTGAAATTCTGACATACGTTTTTTATTTTTAAAAAGTGATTATTATTTAGTGAAATATTGATAATTTTCTTAAAATTATATAAAATACAATTCAACTACCATTTAATACGAGTATACAACTATTTGCTTTCATTTCTAAAAGTAATCAATACGATGTTCTTTAATAATCTCTCTTAATATATTTTTTTAGATTCCTTGTCAAAATAGAAGCAGAAATGCACACATTAAGGATCTAAAGTATGTGTATGAGAGAGAAAAAAAATAATCATATCGAAATATAACGAATCGCCATTAAGAAAGGCATCAAAACTTTTTTTATTACCGGATAAAGCAGGATAACCGGGTAAACAAGATTACCGGATAAACCGGATAAAACAGAGTTGAAAAACGATTAAAAGAAACGCCTCAAAGTTTCATTATTCAGTCAAACTGGTTTTTCATTTTTTTCTTACTCTCATAAGATTCCTCAGTTTTTGATACCGAATTTTCTTTTCCCTGGCTTCTATTATATTTTGCAATAAATTACCATGAATGTATTTGTTTTTTACTTAATTTCTTACGAGGATTCAAAAGTAGGATATATATGAGGAGAGAACATTACGAGACACACTGTGCAGTTTCATTTTTCTTGTAAAATTTCGGAAAAGGATTTGTCTTGATTTGATTCCAAAGACTTCAAATTAAGACTTAGATGCTATGGAAATGACAAAATAGAGTTTTATTTATTAAAGCGCATTTGCAAAAAACTATGGTTGAAAAGATAAAATAATTTTACAAAAGAAAATTACCAATCGAGTCATTTCTTTCTTTCTTTGTACCAGTCCTCGTTGGTTTCAATCTTTTTTGCAAAGATTTTCTTCTCGGCTAAAATACAAAATCAATTTGCTTGTATCAACAATACTTACACAAGACTCTTAAAATGTACCGAGAGCAATAAAAATTAATAGACCCTAAATAAATTTTAATCTGATGATCGGATCTTCACCTTCTAGGATCAGATCTTCTCGTTCTATCGGATAATCACGTTTAAATAACTATTATGACTGTGTTATTTAATTCCCCTCCCCTAAAAGTCAGGTCGCTGTCGCCCCCATATTCACATTAAAAATTATGAACTTACCTACTCAACTTTTTTTGCGGATTTCCTACAACTTCTTTCAGAGTACAGTGAGCAAAATAAAAAATACATCACCCTGAATAACTTTTGTTCCAATGATCGAATATTCACGAACTCCATTATAGTGGATCAAATTAATTAGTGCTAACTATTAATTAAGTTACAGAATCAAGCTCAAAAATGTACTTTCTTCGAAGCATATTTTTTTTTATCGGCGGATTTGCGTTTTGACTTTCAAAATATGGCAGGTAGCCACACTATAAAATATATGGTCCCGATAATTTAGCTGGGAAAATAGTCAAACATTTTGGCTACTAATTACTAATTTCATTTTTTTCTTATTTCATCATACGTCAAATCAAAAAAAAATTGGCACTCTATTATGTATTTCCAAAGAAAATGTGAAATGATGAAAACTCCATGTAAAAAATAACTTTTAATAGATTTTTTTTTTTTTTTTTGGTGGGGGATTGAAATGTTTTGAAATGTAAAGTATACAAATTTTACATCATTTTAAATGATAAAATACAAAATTTAAACAAAATTAGTCAAATAGTTCTTGAGAATTAGAATTTTAAGAACTATGTCGAATTTGAAATTTCATAACTCAGAAACTATTCAACAGATTTCACTTACATTTTGTATTTAGCCATTTAAAATTATATAGTTAAAAAAGAAGTTAAAACTGGTATACCTTACATATCAATATTAATCGACCCTTTTTAAGTAAAATAATTTTAAAAAATATCACTTACTGGCATTAGCGTAGAAATCAAAATTTTCTTTTCGTCAAATTTATATTAATATACATCAGTTTTATGTCATATAAAATACAATTCGATTTTGCATGCATCTATATGGTAAAATCATTTCCCGAAATCCATTTAACCAAGTGACTGCTTTCTTTCAACTTGACTCTTTCTTCGTTATGTTATCCAAGAACAACGTTTGGACTGTTTCCATAGAAACACATCAGTAGAAACAGAAGACGTTCTTAGTTCATTATTGGAAAAGTTGTAAAATTATTAATATATCGCAGTAATTTTTTGATATGATTAGTACATCCTCAAACTGTTACTTAATATTTATGATGGTAGAAGCGGGAATTTATAAAATAAGTTACAATCGAAAGATTTTAGTCCAATTTGCATTCGTGAAACAGATAAAGTGGTTCTGCCCCTTACTCGCTCACGAACCCACATGATTGCTAAAAAAATTTCTTGGCGATACAGAGAATTTTTATGTCTAAATTAATATAAAAAGAATTCAGTGGAAATATTTGTTGTTTCCTGGTTCAAGAACGGAACGCCTAGATCAGGTTCGTGACACTAGGCGTTACTGTACTGGGGGACTTGAAACAGCACAAACATAACTCGTTAAACGTTATTAACAAACAAGTTTTCTTAGACTTCGGTTACCAATCCTATTGAGATTAAATTTAAGCTTATAAAATTTTGCTCAATTACTATTGCAACTTCATCTATAACATTTTTCTTTAAATACACTTTTTTAATTTTTGGTTACTAAAGGTACTCGTTAAATAGTTTTCCTCCAAGAGATAATCTAGTAACAGTGCGAAACTCGAAATTTTTGTATGATGAAATTTTACATTTTTGTATGATTTATTATGTTGACTGATCACAACATAACACAAAGCTTAAAAGTAAACAAAACTCATTTGCTGTTGATTGTGTAACGATTCACTAATGATCGTATAACTTTTAAATACCGATTTAAATACATTTTTTCATAAAATATTGTGTAATACGATAAAATCATAGGATTACTTAATAATAAAGAAAAATTGCTTTCAATTTTAAACCTTTACTTTGGAATAATAAGAAAAAAATTCATAAAAAAAATAACATTGAAGGTAAATACACTTAAATTAGGGATAAATATCTTACGGGTAAACAATACTTTTATGAATTTGATTAATTTTATGTTGATTAAGACGAAGGAAGCCAGGGTTTTAATAAGAGAAATTTTGATCATACAGTACTTTTCGTCCAATGAGAATGGCCGAACTAGTTATTTTTATCTGATAATTAAGTACAGAATAACCATTCTTAAAGCAGAGGTGTTTAAGGCCTGATAACGAAATTCGCAATAAATACTTAGACCATGGATATTCTTTTTTAATGCCAAAATAGTTCGATCTTTCAACCCTAGGAATTATAATAGCACTGCAAAGTGATTTTTGGTGTAAAAAATGCCTAGCAAGTAGAGAAATTAACATTGATCGAGCATGGGTTTTTTCATTTAAAATAAAGATTAATTATTAATTGGGGCCGAGATTGCCAGGTTGGTAGGGCACTGGACTCGCGTTCGCGGGAACAGGAGTTCGAATCCAGCCGGCTGAAGACGGTAGTGAATGGTGACTAGTACACGTTAAATCTGTCGGGTCACAAAGACCTAAATGTTCCCATAGCAAATTATACCTCTGGAGGTAGTGGATTGAAGATTGATCGTTCTCTGGTTTAGGTCAAAATTACAATCTGTGGGTGGAGCAATGAATGTATGAAAGAGTCCACCCTATAAACGGGTGTGGCAGAAGTCGAATTCTTGGTCATAGATCGCACTCCCTGTGCCTTAATGGCCTACGACGAACAACAACAACTAATTATTAATTAGTTAAAATTTTCTTGAATTATGACAAAAAATCTTACCATAGGCCAGAATTATTTTACTGAAGACTTGACTATTCATTAGTTTCAGTCCTTATTTCTTATTTAATAAATTCAAAATGACTTTTACTGAGATACAGCTAAACAAGGTTTGGCACCGATTAAAATTGTAATAAATCCAAATAATCATATAGTATTCAATTACCTTTAATTGTAATGTGACTATATGTTTTCATAATGTACAATTATAACTAACATGATTACATATAATCAATCTAACGAATAAAAATAATTACAACACAGAATTACAGCCCAAATAAATGTAATCAGAAGAGATCTTGATTACTTTTTATAACAATCCATGAACTGTACAGTGCAAAAAAAGTAAGAAAACAAACGGACCTCCATGAATAACTTTATGATCTAATGATAAGATGATCTTCTGTTATGGGACTCAATGGTTCGAGGGGCTGACCTCAAATATGCTTATTAGTGCAGACTATATTTTAAGTTATGAAATCAGACACAAAAGTATACTTTCTCTGAATAAGCATTTTTTTTTTTTCAGCGGATTCGAGTTTCTGACCCCCAAATTATAGGGGATAGTTGCAATCGGGGAATATAATCTCAAGAGATTATATATATATATAATCTCTTTGGTCAGGAAGGCGGTACAAAGTTTGAATTCCTTTATGTTAGTTTTATTTTTTGCATATTTCGCCATACCTCAAGAAATTTTTAAGCGAATTGATGAATTTTTGCACACAATTATAAAAATAGGTTTATTAGCAGATAATTAAATGCAAAAAATACATTTTAGTAAATATTTATTATTTTATTAAATAATCAAAAAAGTTTTAGATTGTAAGGTATACAGTTTATACATTTTAAAGTATATAATTTTACATAACAAAATATAAAATTTGTATGAAATCGGTTGAATAATTCTTGTAAAATCGAATTTTGAAAAAGTCGTATATTTAAAATTCAATTTCTCAGGAACTATTCATCCGATTTGGCTCGAATTTTGTATTTTGCAGTTATGAAAGAAAGATAAATCAAATGTAATTTTCAAACTTCTAAAAAGTTCATAAAATGCTTTATTAATTTGAAAACATCACACATAGTCACTGGCACAATATATAAAATACACATTTACGATGGGGTAGAAAAAATAGGGACGGCTAAAGTATGAGCTACTGTTCAGAATAGTAACGCTTCTTTAGCGTTCTGTACTTTTTGAGCATATATAAGGCTTCGAGTTCTTTAATGATGTACTGGCCTCTGGTCAACAATATTTCTATTTGAGCTGCTTCTTTCACATCCTTGTTCTTCAAGAAAGCTTCTTTCAGTCGAACTCTAAAATAGTCATACCCTTTCGGATAATCTCTACCCAGGAATAAAAGCTGAAATAATAAAAGCATACATGAAAGACACAGGAAAATAAAATAATATTCATGTGAGAAACTAGATCATTCAAACATTAAAAACCATTACCACTTGTGTTTAGAGAGACAATGATTTAAATCTGTGGGGAATTATTTATCGACTATGTCAACCTTCATCTATCAAAAGGTACCTCAAGGTAGAATCGAGTTAACATGTCTTGTCATTTGGTATTTAATATTTGTAGTGGTAGTTACACCACAAATCTAATGATTAAAATCAATGGTTGAAACTGCATTTTTGCACACTGTTTAAAAAAATTATTTTGATCACAGGCCCTGTGGCAGAATTGCGGCGACATGGCCACATTGTCGTAGAACGTTACAGAGTTCTTGTAGAAAGATTTTTCTTTTCGGAAGAAAAATTTTGGTTTTCTTTTCTGCAGAAATTTACACATAAAATTTGAATCGCGCATTTAAATAATTAGTTTGCGTCACGTTCAATTTACACAGATAGTATTGGAAATCCAAGTAGTGTTTCGACTGTATTTTTGGCAGGTATTGATTTTCACATGGGTTTTAATTATCCTGATATATTTCAGATGATATGGGAAATTTGAATCATGCATTCAAGCATTTACTTTTTAAGGCAACGATTCTATTGTTGTTTTGTTTTGTTTTTTGGCAATTATTGTTTTTGATTTCCATATAATTTTTAAAATCTGATATTATTTATTACAACAATCAAATCTTTAAACGATCGAGCATTTAAGTAACCCCTTTTTGAAAAGTCCGATTCCCATGATTTCATTGTCGATCTGTTTTTCGGTATTTACTGCTAAGGATTTCATGATTTTCAATTATTTTTTTTAAAGTGATAATGATTTACAAAATGCAAAAAAAGAAATAATTAATGTATTTTTCTCCCCCAACTAAATGTGAGAATATCGCTCATAACATTAGAATAAAAAATGCTTACACATTCAATGAAAATAATTATGTTTTTTTCTTGTAAACAAAGCATTTTTATTACTTTAAATTAGTAACATGCATATTAGTTATTATTGAAAGTATCTTGCAGAAAGATATTAGTGCTAGAGAGTTTTGTCACAGAAAGCCTGTAATAATTATGCCAAAGGGATCACAGGTGGTTAAACTTTTATTTGTTAAAAAGAAGTTATTTATGTTATGCTACCTCTAACTCTTGTATTTAGTATTCTTGTCTCTTGCATTTAGCATCAGATAGCATTTGTATCAAACATTTTTGCTTAAGTACAGGAGACATTTGTATACATACATGTAATATAAAAAAATAATGAAGTATCGAAAACCACCAAGTATTAAACATCATTATCTAAAAATAAGTAATCTCTAAAAATAGATTTTACTTCTTGTCAGTAATCTTTTTAAAAGCTTTTTGTCAGAAATTGTATAGCATAAAGTATAAATAAGTTGTTATTTATTATTGCATCAAGTGATGCAATGTTATGAAAAAATAATGAAGAATCCATTAACTTGTGCTTTAGATTTTGCCCAGATATTTGTAGCCACGGTTAAATTTCTTTTATAACAGCACACTCGAGATGTAAAGTTCATATTTTCCAGACCTTCGGTCTTACTCAATAAAATTATATTTTAATTCTATTGCGTTGTTTTTCTCAACTTATTTCAGCTTAACAACAATATTCAGCTTAACAAGAATTATGAATAAAATTCTATAAACTTTCACTACCAATATACCATTCCATTCTTTTATAACTTATAATATCAAAGACAATTTTGAAATGAGGTACTTTTTCAATCGACATCTTGAGTTTCATTTTGAGACATGTACTTTCCTGCTGGCATAAGAAGTCAAGCAAATCAACAATTACTCTAACTTATTTGCAAATATTTAATAAACTTTATATATAGCTAGTAGAAAATAAATGCGAGAGATTAATAAATACTATGGTAAAATTAAAAATGCATTGGATCTAGTTACACAAAATATGGGGCGAAAAGCAAAACAAAATCTAAAATAAATATGGAATATTACATATTCAAGCATTTAGAATAATTAAGGAAAAAATAAATAATTTCAGATTCTGTGGTATGGCAACAGAAAAAGTACTTTGTTATATATATTTTAAGAAATATAAAACTGCATAAACAATTTTTTATTAACATATAAAATAAGGAAAAAGACTGGCTTCTTTAGTTATGAATATTGAACCAAGGTAAGTCAAACCAGGAATTGGCAAAAATTTGGAAAATTTTAGAAGCAAATAGAAAATTTTTTAGAAATCAGCTTCTACAATTATTGACACTTTATCGCATTTGCTTGGAAATAAACTAGTTTTTCATAAACACGCAACCCTATTTTCAGTGATAGGTCGTATGAGTCTTCACAGTAAAAGAGTTAAATATTCAATTGAAAAATCAAATTCAGCAAATATTTTAAGGAAATAAATGTTTTGAATTTCAATTCTTATAATTTGATAAAATAAAAGTATCACTAAAGTGCTTTTAGATTTTACCTTTACTTAAATAGTAATATATAAAAATATCAAATTCATTATAGTTAAGTTATAAAATATTTTATTATATCTATAGCATATAGAACAGTTGTAATATGTTGATTAAATATTTTCAGTTTATGATTCATATTAAACAGAACTAAATATATTGCTTTATTTTGTTTAGAACATTTTCGAATTTATATATCTTCATAGTAATAGATATTTTGATTTTTTACAGTCAGAACATTCTTTAATTCAACAATAGACTTCAGAAAAAAACACTAGAATTTTAAAAAAAAAATTAAACTGATTGTTATAAATTAAACCTACTTCTTTATTTAGTGGCATCAAGTTCGTTACTCAACAAATATATAGAGTAAAAAGCCTATTTTAGAGAGCAATATATATCCTAATTTAGAGAATAATATATTTCCTCATAATTATGAATATTAGCATTCTCTGTATTTTCATTTTTATTTAAATTCAGTTTACTAACTTTTATATACAAATAAAAAATATTAGTAGTAAACGGACCAGTAACTAGTTAGAAATGTTTTTAGTTATCTTTCGTAAACAAAACAATCAAAACGTAAATTAAAAAGACTTAACATATTCAATTGAAAACGTTAATTTAGTTGTATGAGTAAAAAAATTAGTATGAGTAAAAAAAATATTAAGAAAATTTTAAAAAAAAAAAAAGATAATTCATGACTAACTTACATTCTTGTAAAGCGTAATCACTTTACTTCTGGTGGAACTCATAATTGAAAAACTAAAGGCGAGCTTTGACACAGAGCAAGCATGAAATGAACTAGCTTGCTGTCTAAGAACTCAGGATAATTATGCAGCTGAAACAAACAAAAACATTTCTTTAATGATATCTTCTCAAGCTCTAAAACAGAGCCAACATTATATAATATAAGCTCAAAAGATAATGCAAGAGAAAACGCTTATCGATAATGCCTCGAGAAAAATAATTAATAACAATAACAACAATAATGAAGTCTACGGGCCCGCAGTCACGTAGGCACCAAGAAAAAAACTATCGGATAAATTTAAATTTAATCTATTGTCATTGACAACAAATAAAGAATCATTTAAAAAAAATCATTAAATTAATTTAACACAATACAAGTTCATTTTATAATATTAGATTACTAAAATAATAAAGAAATACTTCTTTTTTCCTTTGGAGCTGAAGGGGTTAAAGGGCGGTTTTTTTTTAAATAGCACACATTTAGTTTAATGAATGCAGGTTTTAAAATTATTAGAAAAAACTAAGTCTTATTAATTCAGACAACTAAATATTAGAATTGGACGTAATGTCAATGTCAATTGAAAGCCGAAAATAAGTGTCACACTTTTGAGGAGATTAGCACAACACGCTCAAAAGCAGACAAAACAAACAATTTTCAGCTGCAGCCAATAAAAAGTGTCTACTTCAATTATTTTATTGTTTATTTATTTTAAATAACCTCTTTTTTTCTAAACTCTTAACAAAGCTTTGAAAAAATTTCTCATAATATAATAAATTGTTGTTTTTTCATGGAATAAAAGTTTTGATTATTATTTCAGTTTTAGAGCCAAAAATAAAAAAAACATTAAGATCAAGCAAGCTCTAAGCAGCTAAAGCAGAAAGCGGAAGTGAAAGAAAAAAAAAGTTGTAAACAAAAGAAATGGGAGGCTCGTTTTGTTTTCGTCATGGAAAATTTTAACAAAAATGATTTATTTTTTAAATTAATTTCAAAATGTCCTGAAGTACAATTGGAAAAGGTTTTAGATTTCTTCGCGTTTTTTTTATTTCCTAGTATTCAAGAATTATTATATTTATTAATATTAAATTATTTTCCAGCTTGTTCACCATTTAATTGATTTGTTCTGTGGTCAAGAAACTCTTATTTATGAAGAATTTTCAAGCGTGTGGTCTTTGATGGAATGGTGGGACTTAATAAATGAAAGCCGATTATTTATACAAGCATGCTATAATGCTAGTGACGAAGTAATATTTATTTTATATTTGTTTATCTTTTGTATCTGTACTATCTATAAAAATTATGATATAATTTCATGTAAAAAAAATTATGTGAATTGAATGTTGATAAAATGCAGTTCAAATGCGAATATGGGAGAACATTTGGATTTTGGTTCCTGCTCAAAAATTATCACAAAGTTATGGCGACTTTCCGCACAGAAAGGAGCCAATTCGAGGACGTTTCCTTATTGTTATCTGTCACGCAAATGAATCTTAATCTTGCTGTTCGTTAAAAAAAAAATAGAAGTTTGTGAAAGGTGGTTAGAGTTATACCCTTCGAGATTGTCCCCTTCTGTAATGTTAGTTCCTTTGTGGGCCACTGCTCTGAATTGCCCAGGCTTGGCAATTAGTCTGCCCTGCTTCATACCAACTTGAAGGGTTGTAATTTATAACCTCTCCCTGCACATTATATATGTGTTATTATTATTACTTACATATCATATTTTTTATATTTCTGTTTTGGTATGGAGGTATTTGTTTGTGCCTATTACTTTCTCCATGATGCCAAAGGTTTTTTTAACTCTCATAATTTTTAAAAAGAACATGTGGTTTACCGGTGAGTGATTACGAGTTATATCTTTCAAGCTGGTCTGTTACTGTGATTTTTTTTTAGTTTCTTGTGGACTACTGCGCAGAAATCACCAAGACTCTGTAATTATTTGAGCACAGGTACTGAAAAGGAAATCTTCCCGATAAAGAACTATCCTTTTCTATGTGCCATCTTATAAAAGATACCTAAAATGTTCACATTTCTACCGTTTCCTTCAATGAAAAAAGTCCCGCAGTGGACTTATCGTTAAGACACGGTTCCCAGCAGATCACCGAAACCAAGCATCACTGACCGCTTGGATCAGTCTGCGTAGGGACCGAGGGTGTGCGGCATTGGTCCTCGTTAAACTGATCTACCGTATAGTTCTCGACTTCGCGTGCAGGCCGTTGAGCTACCGAAGCGGGGGTGCCATCCCCTCTGCAGAGGATCAAAATTGTGATGGCATGTCTTCGGATCATTCTCAGAAATGTTTCCCAGACCGTCGCCAATAGCCCATTGTGCAGCTCTAGTGCGACGTAAATGAACTACAACCTTCAATGAAAAAATTGCCACTCTAAGATGGTGCAGTATCCTCACTGCTGAGTCAAACTCAAACAAGTTCGTTCACGAGATGTTGCTCATCTGATATTTTTCTCTCTCGCGATCGTCAGCGAAATATATTTTTATTTCATGTAACCTTTTATTATTTAATTTTAATTACATTAAAATGTAATATTGGAGATGAATTATTATTTCATGTCTACTGCATAAAAGACAGGTTTGGACTTCGCCATCGAGTCTGAACCTGTAATGGCAACTTTTACATGAAGAAACTGGTTCACCTTTTTTTGGAAAAGAGCCACAATGTATTCAATTTTTATGCCAATTAATAATCACATAAATACCTTTCCTTTATTCACCAAATAAAATATTAGTTTGTTTTAATATTTTAAAGGTAGTAATGGGTATAAATTCAAGTCCTATAACCATAGTTAATGGTATTGTTTAAGAACTAGTTAAAGTAAATATTTTTCAACCCAAGTTACTGTTTCAAAATGAATTATATAGTTATTAATATATATAATTTTTTAAATATATAAAAATTAGCTGTTTTTTTTTTTTAAACTACTATGCAATTTAAATTTTTTATTTTCTTTTTCTTTTTAAGTGTCAGCTTAAAATCTAGGAAATTTTAAGAACTGGTACATGGAATTTTAGAAAATTTTTGAATTAGTAATTCTGTCACTAATTAATTTCTGTATAAGTGAGACGAAAACTAACTGAAAAACATACTTTTTTCTAATATGAAAAAGTTATATAAGAAATTTGAACAACCTTGTCAAATGAAACCATTTTGTTAAATTGTGTCAAATCAAATGAATCCCCTAATCATAATTTTGAATTGAAAAATTATTTTAGCATTTTTTCATCAGTTCACAAAGATTTTTTTTACTTTTTCATTTTTTTTATGGCTATTTCTACTAGAATGCTCCTTGTATAGTTTAATTTATCAACTCTAGATAAAAATAGATGTTTATGAAAATGCTAAGTACTAAATATTAATTATTATTTTTCAGAATTTAAATTCATCATCTTTGTCCGAGGAATTTAAAAAAGTTATAAATGATTGCTTGGCTGTCAGAAAATCGGATGTACGAAGCAGTCTGCTAACTAAGACACATGGAATATCATCAAGTTTTTTAGTGGATTTTGACTGGAAGCTTAAAGTAAATTATTCTTTTTAGTCAAATTAAAGTTTTTTTTTAAAATAGTATTATTATCTATCACTTTTTTGCATTGAAAATTGGCATTAAAAGAAAATTCCTTCATTCAATTTTAAAATAATGCAATATTGTTATGATATCAGTTAGAAAGAAAGAATGCTTAGTTTTTGAACAGAATTGAATCAATTTAAAAATATGAACCAAATTTAAAGTGATTCATAAAAGTTACAAATAAATTTGCATGTGTATGTAGAAAATCTTAAGTTATTAAGTAAACTCAATTTTTAAAAATTTTATTTTTTTTGTTTTTGCAGTTAACTATTGCAAGTGATAAGATAGCTCAAATCAATGAGCCGCGCTTGCTTCTTGACTTGGATTTTTTGGGCAATACAAATAGATGTTTACACTTAGATTTGTCCCAAGAAGAATTAAGGAATTTGATTGATTCCATGGAAAAAGCTAAGAAAGTAAGTGGTATATATATTGTAATATTATTTAATTATTTTGTTTTTCTATTACTCTAAAAGAATAATAAAGACAAATTTTTATATAGCAGTATAAGTATTTGGATATCTAAATGTTTGAGATAAGTCAATTTGAAATTCATTGAATTCTTCATAAAAATATTTTATATCTAAATTGCTGCATAACATGAAAAATATCCTTCAAGTGAAAATGTGTTCCATGTTTATTTTTTGTTTGAAATAACAAATCTGTAATAATTTTTTGTTTACCATGCATTATTTTTCCTAAATTCTGCAACTTTTTGTGTTTTTAATAAATAAAAATATTTAACTCTCTGAGCACTAGACAGAAAGTTAGTTTGGAAATTTTATTGAACCGCATGGAGAGTAGGTACTGTCCAGCTATAATGAGAACTCAGTATTGTCCCAATAGGCAATCTATCGGTGTAAAAGACATTTTTTTTTTAATAATTTTGCTTAGTGCCACTGCCCAGTATAAACTACATTGGTGTTTCTTTTAAGGTCATGGGTTATTGTGCAGCATTACCTACACTTTTTTTTTAAAAGATTAAGTGCCACTGCCAGGTATATTCAACCATACTATACTATACTAGTATTACCTATTGATCCACAAAGTAACTAGACAGATAAATCGCATGTTGGGTTAACACTGAGAACTCTTCTCGACAGAAAGTCAGATTGCCTGGACAAACTATGGAAATAATAAAATACAAGTAATAAATGCAACCATTTCTAATGAAAGATGATCGAAGAAATGACTCTATTCTCTCAACTTATACCAAAGTGAAACGGTTAACTCCAAAACCTTATCAAAACTACTTATCTTCATAACTACTTTAACTGCCAGCAAAAGAATCTCTTGTTTAAAGTATCATTCCGGAGAAGTTCTCATAATCGTGAGATAGTAACTGGTTTTAATTCCAAGAAGAAATCAAGTTGAATTTTAAGAACACTTGGTTTTAACTCTTTAATATCAAACCAAAAGACAAATTTAAAGTTTTTAAACTCAACTTTATAAACTAATTAATTTTTTTTTTTATTGTATCACAAAAATATTTATTTGGTATTATGTATTTTACAGGCACTTGCAGAAATTACTGTTCCAGATTGAATAGCCCATTTGATATTTGTAAAAAAATAAAAAGAATTATTCATTCTATGTATGGTTTTAATGTCAATTGTTACAACATCCTATTATAGCTTACATATGTATATTTATTTATATTTCAATTTAGCTTAATATTTATTTATATTACTTTGCTTATCAAAAAAATTCCAATTGCTGCTTTTGCTTAATTAAGGTTGTATAATGCAACAATTACGAGTTAAATATCAAATTCATTCCAAATAAAGATTTAAATGTATAGTGCATAATGAAAAATGTATGACTCACAATTTTTGAATAAAACTTTAATTCTATTAAATATTGTTTAATTGCAGAAATTAAATCAGTACAAAAAACACTCTGTAACTTTTTTTAATATGAGTGTCTAAATATTGTATGTTAAAATTAATGTATATTTATTATTGTAAAAGTACATAGTGATTATTGACTTGGGGATTTTTTTCTTAGATCACCAATTTATGCTGCTATTTTAAAACTTTATTACTCAGAATTAATTTTTTTTAACTGGATTGCCACCTTGTAAATCTTTCTTAAGAAAGAGAGCACTATAAAATTTAAAGTTAGTTTTAAAACAAATATTACTTTTTTAATTCCAAAAACTTGTTTTTTTATCTGAGATATTTATGCTATTTAACCCAATTGTTTTTTGTTTTGTTTTTCCTTAATAAGGCATCTGACATCAAGTTATTTTTTGTTCATCCTGTATATATTGATGCTTAGCCAAAAATGTATTCCTCACTATTTATAAATAAAATATTTATTTCCTTTTAAATAAATAAAAATGTTAGCAATAAAAAATTACAATTCATAATAATACACCAATCTCAACAACATAAAATTTAACATTTAAGTGCATTTTTTTTAGCAGAAGTGTGAAATGCTTTAATAAATTTACACACATAAACATTTAACTATAACACACTATAATTATTCACCTCAACCATCAATAAAAGTATACACAATTAAAACTTATTAAAGTGAATTTTATAAATTATTAACAATAATCAAAAGAAAATATTGCTTCCATTTGCACATCTAGAAACTAAATGGCAATATACGTTTTTAAGAAGACTTAAAGAAGTCGTGTAATTATTAAAAAAGACTAGCTCTTAGAATTTTTATTGAAATGGACCAAACACAAATGTTATACGATTTTACAGTGACCACCACTAATAAAATCCCTGGATTATAAAATCAGTTACTTTTTTAATTTTTGAAATTTGCAAAAAAAATTCTGTTAAAGACTTGAAACAAATAGCAATTAAGTTTAGGAATTAAAAATCATTTTCCTGTTGTTTTTTCTCCCAGTACCATTTTAGGCATTTTTTTTTTAAATTGTAAGATGAAAAATTATGTTCTGTAGCTATATATACATATATTTTTTTTTTAAATCTAAAATAAAAAATAATCTGAAGATTCTCTGATAATCTGATGTTAGGCCAGAGGATATATTTTAGTGTTGACTTCGTAATTGCTAAAATAAAAAATAAAATAGCCATAGAATAACATTTATTTCAGATAAAAACTCGTTGAATGAAATTCATGATGTTTATAAAAAAAATTATATATTAATCTTTATAATATTTAACTAAGACTACAGCATACTTGCCAACATTCACTCTTTTCGAGAATGGATTTTCCAAGTGGTAGTAAAACAATTACTGTAAAACAGTTTTACTCAAAAATATATTTGCATTTTAACCAGGTTAAAATTCGCTATCATAAGGACTAATATGCTTTTTGTATATTTGTTGAAATTATTTATATGTAGTGGTGGTCAAACTCATTTATAATTATTATTATAATTCAAAAAGTTTAGTTAGAATTTCGTTGGCACTTTAAATATGAAAATAAAATCTTCCGGGAAAACCGGAAGAGTTGGCAGCTATGCTATAGCAATAAACACTCAAAAGACTAATTCAGTTAGAGAAAACACTTGACTGGTCAGCATTTGGAGAATTAAAACTAAAAATGAACATGATACTGATGCTTTAATTAATCAAAAAACAATGCCAAGGCATTATATCTGAAATCAGTATCTCAATATAACAGTATATTATAGTTATCAATCAATATAATATACTTTTTTTTGTTTTAAAAAACAGAACTGCTTATACAAAACTGAATTGATTATACTTCAATTTAGTTTTAATTTTTAACTTAATACCAACATATTAGAAATTGTAGATCTTAGTAACCTATAATATAATTATATCACCCCAGGTAATGAATTTCTTTAACTTATCTATCAGATACATGACATGTGGGATTTCCAAATTTTTTTATATGGCTCTTTAGCCCAAAAGGTTGAAGACCCATAATTTAAATAAATATATAGTCCATAGAGGTAAAAGGTGGGGGCAAATCTATGTTTACTAATTCATTAAAAATTGTTTTAATAATCATAATGTGTGAAAAAGCCCTCAGTTCTTTTTAAAAGAAGATTCTAAACTTCTTGAACTAAAGAATTATTTTTCGCAATGCCTTTTCCTTCAAATTTTATTAATGGTGGCACTTAAGTATTTGATTCAAAATATAAAACATTAAGTCAGTCTTGAATGTAGGTTTTCCCAGACGAAAAAGGATAAGTGTTTTAATTTAGATTTAGTAAACACAATTGTGTTAGTATTTTTTTATTAAATTCTTACATTTGAGAATTGTTTTTTAAAAAAATTTAATTTTTGAAAGAAACTATTTTTTAGGCTAATTATTATTGTTAACGCCCAGATTTTTATGCATTTAGATTTTTTTCTCTCTTTTTAACTGAAATATTTTCCTGTCATTTAAATTCTCATTAAAATTCCTTCAAAATTAATTTTTATCTGATTCCTTTTTTTATTAAACTTTTTTAAAAAATTGCATGTCAATTTCTTGAATAATCATTTGTACAATTATAAGTTATAAATAAATGTAGGAAAGCAGATTGTTGATTAAATCATAAAAAGTTTTTATTTTAAGAGCATTTTTTTTTTTTTTGAGAACTTAATTTTAGTTCATCAAAATCCAAGGCCTTACTTATCGTTAAAAAAAAATATTATTAAAAAATTATGATTTGTACATTTATTGGTAAAACAATAAAATAAATTTTAACAAGTTTTACTGCTATTTAAAGATGAAGGTGTAACTCATCTAAAGTCCAATTTGTATTAAAAATCTCATAGATTTCAAAATAATTATAATTAACAATATTTGAAATAGACAAGACAAGATTAACAATTCAAATAGATTATATTCATTACAAATATTTATAAACGTTTTCTACACACATCTACGGTTACTAATTTAAAGACTTCTAAACTTCACAGTTTATTCATTCTAGCAAATAACAAACAATAAAAGTTTCATAACAATTACAACACCAGTATTTAACATTCAATATCGTAGCACACAGGTAGGGTCACTGGTGATATATACGAATCTTCAGTCATTTTACAAATCAATTGTTAAATCAAAATGATAAATTATTTGAGAGAGATAAATTATATTCATTGTATATTCACAACCAATTAAATAATTTCAAAACTAATGTAATTAAAATATCAATTAAGGGAAAGTTTCACAAAGCATTAAAATTGATTTAACATTTCTCACTTACTTCCTAGGTTCATAGATTTAAGTCATAAAAATGTATAAATTTGTCATGGTAAAACATAGAAAAAATTCTAAGATCAGCATCAATTGTTTTATTCTAATATTAAAAAAGTACTGTCAATTCAATTTGTCATGACTAAGCTATATTTATCTTCAAAGGCAGTCAATTAAGAAGGTAATTGACAAAATATTTGTATAAAATGCAGGGCTCGAAAATCATTTTGCCCAGCCAGGTATATAAATAAGTTCCTAAAATACCGATAAAGCGCTCCCTTAAATTTTGATTATAATTAACATTTTGTAAAAAAGTAAGCATTTTCTTTTTTATTCTCCCTATCATTTTTATTATCAAATGTTTACCCCAACTGTTCTGCATAAAAAAAAAATATTTATTAAAATTGAAATCTGAAAGCACGAGTTACAGGGATATTTGTTTAAAGTCTGACATCTTAACATCTGATTAAAATCTTGAATGAAATTCAATTGTGACAAAGCAAGTGAATTTTTATAAATTTGTTAATATTCAATATAATATATATTTCCTTTCATTGGGGGGTTGTCTTTCTAGTAAGTAAGGAGGTTTATATATAAATATGTTTCTTTCAATCGATAGTTACATTAATATATTTTCATTAATATGCAATTGAATAAAAAATGTTTGGACATGTAAAGGTTTTATTGGGGCATTTTTTGTCTCAACCCAGCGGGGCATGTAAAAATTGTGAAATTTTTCGAGCCCTGATAAAAAGGCGAGGTGACATGGTTAAAACTAAGCAACATTAAAAAAACTATTGGGTAATGAATTGTAAAAGAATACAAAGCTTAAAAAGTTGTTAAGAAGATAAACCATTTGAACTTCTTATGTTTGGACAATGCTTGGAATATAATGAAGCTCTTTGAATATAAACCTTTCCCTGTAAAACTGGAATCCTTTGCCATGGTATCTAACCAACTAAAACGGACTTGCCTGCCCATTAAGTGATTAATTAAAACATAGGTTCTTTTTAAATGGATAAAAAAGATGTGTTTTTTTATATATATGAATGAAGATAAAATACAGGGCTTAGGATTGGACGGTTGATAGTCTAAGGCTATTAAAGAAACTAACATTGATGATAAGATAGTACAACATAGCAATTTGGTATCCAATATGCACATTATTTTCAATTCGGTTAGTACAGACATATAAAAGGCTAAGGAAGAATATTTATTGTACCATAGCAATTCATTAATATTAACTTTGATAACTTTAATCTATGTAGAAATACTACGTAAAGAGCAAAAATTAGTCAAATCCAAACAGATTTTTGTCATTTTTAACTTTTGCTTTGTAGCTACTGTAAAAATCATTATGCTTATAAAGTATCATAGAAATAGCTTGACAAGATTAATAAAACTGCAAATGTAATGAATTTCTTCTTTGTGCAAATACAGTGCTTTAGTTTATTTTAAATTTAATTTGTAACACTGATTTTAGGAATGACAACCAGTAGTTACAGCTTTTTTCGCACTGCAACCAGAATCAATTTCTAGAGTAATAACGAAATTCAAAATGAAACAATTGATGTTCTATAAGCTACATTGTTTAGCTCAAATAATATATTGTTTTTGAATAGAAACAAATTATGAATTGCAAGAGTATCAGAAGGATTTGCTATAATTTATTAACTGAATTGATACAAAAGTTTGCCCACATGTGAAACAAATAAGAATTTATCTTTAAATTGTAAAAAAATATTTAAAACAAAGGGTCATTCCCAATTTTTTTTAATGCTCCAAAAATGTATGGCAAATTTAAGAAAAAATAGAGAAATCAGATTTTTATGTAGATTTCCAAAATTCTCTAATCTAAACCGAAACCATTAAAAATTTAGAAATCTATAACTCTGTAGGATTTCAAACAACTTATCATTCGAAACACATTAAGTATTTACATAGACATTTGTGTATGTATGAAATGCCTTTTCTGTCAAAGTATTTTTTTCCCTATCTCACACATTCTTTTACCCTATTGATTTCACAGAAAAATTAGATAGTTATAGTCAATAGCTGTTGTTTGATTCCAAATTCTGCATAATTTAAACATAGAAAATTGACTATTCATTAGGTAATGGAATTGAGACTTAAAAAATAATTATTATTTTTCTAGTTTACATGGTATTTATGATGTTGAAAATTATTCATAATTTTTGAGTGGGATTTTTAGGATTGTATAATAAAAAAACAAAAGAAAGCTAGATTTTCCTACAAATATATATTTTTAAAAAAACCAAACTTATGAATGTGAAATTCAATTTATGCATAAGGACTTGTATTTTATTTTGATAATCAAAGTAATGATTAATCGAAGCAAAATATACTGAGTTTTACTTTCCAACTTGGCATACTTCTTATAAATAATATTAAGCAAAACAATTATTTAAAATAGCCAACATGAAAAGTGACCATTTAGAAATATTTCATGAATCTTGTATCAAGAATAAGCGATTATCTTGCATGTGCATTTCTAGATCCAAAATGCTTAACTGAAATAAATAATAATAAAAAATTTTAATTAAAGATGTATAAAAAAAGGATTCTTAATTTTTTTATGAGACTTTGCCCTTGCTTTGAGAGCAAAAAGAAATTGATAGATCTTAATTTTGAAATTAAATTCCACATTTTATCTCTAGCACTGCAGGACTACACAAGATGTTGGTTATAATGAACAGTATATCATTACCAATTATTATTGGATGGATAATTTACATCCCATTTAAAATAAATATTACACTTTATTTTTTTTCCAGCAAAACAAATTTGTATCTTTAATTAAGTGCTATCTTATTTGTATCATAAATACATACATAATGGCAAGCTAAGTTCAATATTTCAATAAGTTACATAATTACATTTAACCGATATTATCCATTACTATGGACATCTGGTTAAAATTGTAATAATTAAACTGGTTCTAATTAACTATTTTTATTATAGCGTTATGTTATTAATACCAATTTTCATACAGCACAAAAATATATATTTTTTTAAAGTTTTTAAAATAGACTAGCTGAAATCCATACTTAGAACATCTATGACTTAAGTCCTCGTGCATTTGTGACATGTCTTATTTACTAGCATTGTAATTTTAAGTATTTTTAAAAACCGAGCAAACTACCAAATTGTAAATGGGGAAAAAAACATTACAAGGTAATATTTTAAATAATTCCATGCACAATTAGTGCAAAAAAATATTATTAATATGATGTTGGTGGTTCAATACAAGTACAATCAATGACCGATTTCAAAATGTTTGAATTAGGAATGTAATTTTTTAAAATTAAGTTTAATCCAGGTAAAATCGAATATACTTTTTCTAGACTTACATTTCATATACTATACTTACATCACACTTTCTTTATTAGGATTGTAAATACTATTTTTTTTAAAGCTATTTTTGCTAAACATTAAAAAGAAATAGAATTGATAAAATATGATTTAAAATAAAATATGAATTTCTGTGAAGTAATTTTTTTAAAATTTGTAAAGAAATCAATTTAAAATTTTCAAATTTAAAAAAAAATAAAATAGGATAGCAAAAAATAATTAATTGGCAAGAGTATCACATCAATTTTTGGAAGATATTTTTTCCATTGCATTTGTAAAGAATGATTATTTGAACAATCTCTGAATTAATTTTAAGATATTAAAACAGAGTATACTCATTTATTTAAATTTATTTTCAATGAAGTTTTAATAACTATTTTAAAAAAGTGATTTACATTTCTAAATAAAAACTTGTTTTACTTATTATAATTATTGCTAAGCAGTTAAGTTTCACAAATTTCAGACTAACGCATTCTTAAATTTATTTAGTCCTTTTTCAATTCCAAGACCTTTTTTTTTTAAATTTTATATTCAGTCAAAATTTTCAGATGTCAGTCACTCTACGAATTGTTGCTTACAGCCACAAAATACATTAGCTCATCCATCAAATAAATAAATATATATAAACATTTCTAATAATAATCAGAGAACAATATTTATCACAGACTCTTAAAAAATTTAAAATTAATTGTGATAAAACTTTAAAAATTTACAGTTTAGCATGATTATCAATAGCTATCAAATTAACCATGCGTGCAGTTGCTGATATTTTCAACAAGTCTTTCACTTAAATATTCATATTAGCTCATTAAATAAGAATAAAATTTAACATAAGTTCAATAAAGAGATATATTAAAGCATATTCATTATATGTTTATGTAAACTTTAGATATATATATAAGGTTGCATTTCTGTGATTAAAATAATTTATTTAGCATTTAACACGTAATTATGAAGAAATAATGGTTTTATACAGAAATATTTGCTTCACTTAAAAAAAAAAATCAGTGCTTCACATTAAATGTTACCAGCTAAAGGTACAGAAATACCAAGTTAACCTGTCAAAAACATCAATGAAAAAATTATTGAATAGCAAAAAGTAAAAATATCACAATTTCTATGGAATGTAAAAATTATAAATTATTGATTTAGTGTCAAAAATGACAAATATTACATAACCTGTTATAGAGCAATGTGACCTTGCAGACTCCTCTTTTTCTTTCCTTAGACTAATTTTAATTTTCACATAATTTAGTGGTTTAATATTATTATTTTCATAGAACTTTTTTCAGATGATGTAAATTCTATTAAAATTTTGGAACCTTATAAATTAGGGAGTTGTGGATCTAATTGATCCCAGTGATAATCACACGCAGATATATTTTACTGATAGACGCTGTTAATCATAAATTTAGAAATAGAATTTATTTCAATTATATAAACAATGATGTTAGTGTTTAAATAAACAGATTCATTAAATTTTGTTACAAAATTAATTCGGCCATTTTCTAATCAATAGAAATTGCCAAATGGCATATTTTTTCTGTTGTTTTTTGACCAATAACACCCAAAACTCCATACTCCATAAAACAGCATTTGCTCCTAAAAGTTAACAGAAATTTCTGACCATAGATTGGCACAAAAAAAATACAAATATTGTAACATACATGATGAAAAACATGAAAAAAGTTGAGTTTACTTAACTTAACAAAAAAATAAAATAAACATTAAATATTATAAACTTAGATTGTCATTGGAATTAACAGTTGAAAACATGAAACATAAATAATAATAAAAACTATAAGATATTTATGTAAATATAAAAATTGGTCTTACGACTACAATATCAACAACATTTTTTAACATATTTCAATTAAGATTAACATGTTTTACTTCAGTAACAGTATTATGGATACCTTTTTAAAATCTATTAGCAATTATCATCATAAATTTACTGTATTAACACAGAGCTTTTTAAATATAAATGCATAATTCATAAAGGTTTAAAAAGAAGTATGGTTTCAAAATAAAAGCAAAAAGATAAGCATGTTTTCTAATCCTAGTATAGAATAAATCCTTAAAAATCACTACAAAAGTCTCTACAAAAACCTTTTAATATAAATTTTAAATAAATCATAAAAGATTTAAGAAAACATAGTTACAAAAATAAAAGCAAGCTTCTTTTCATTCTTAAAATCATAAAAAAAAACTAATATAAATGCAATACAAATGTAATTATAATCCTATCCCAGGAAAGCTTGAAAATCAAAACAAAATTATCTAAATTTATTAACACATTATAGCTTTGAAATATTAAGACAGGCTCCAAAAAATTTAACAAAAGAAAAAGCATAAAGGAACGACCTCTTTCGTAAAATTATAAAAAATAATCTATATTATCCTATAATAGAATTCTAACATTAATAATTAAAACAAAATCAGAAAAAATTATCAAAAAAAAGTCAAATATAAGACTTATGTAGGTTTTAAATAGCAATAGTATAATCAAAGGCTAACAAAAGCAAATCTTAAATTCAATCGATATATTTAAAACAACAAATAATCAGTTCTTACACAATTATTCACAAGGTGTAGAAATAGGGTTTCTTCTTATGCAAAAATAATACTAAAATATTTTATCACTATAATTGGAGACTGAATTGGCGATGACAAAATAAATCTTATTCATTAATATACTTTATGCTAGGTTTTTTGGCTATCTTTAAATGTCTGAAGCTCTATCTCGATATTGCGCCTCATTTTTCTCTCTTCTTCTAATTCTACTTTTAAGTCACTGATGGCCTTATTGGAATTACTTTTGTATGCTTCTAACATGTCTGTCAGTTCTTTTACCTATAAAAAGAATAGAATTCTCAGGAAAACTAATAAAATGAATCAATATAAAAATAACAATGAATGGCTAAAATCCTAGAATAGCCTAACGTTTGGCAACTTTTTGAAATCTCGCCAAGTTGGAGATTATTACTTGGATCAAAGTTGCTTTTTTATTATTAAAAAAACTATTTAACTTATTATCAAAAATTCACCAAGGAAAGATTTCAAAAAATCACCACGGGGTGGGCTATACTAGGATCCACCCCAATGAATAATATTGTAATATAACATTAAAATTATACTAAACTAAAAATAATAAAAAAAAACAATTACAGCCTAATCGTATAGTTATTGAATTGAGAATTTAATTTTAATTACGACTACCACTACCTTCTCATTACAACAGTTATAATAAATCTTATTCCCAATTATATGTGCAACAGTAAATTTATCAATCACATTTTCACTTTCCCATTCTTATTGTTGAAATGCTTCTCCCTTTTTGGAATATCTTTCTTAAACTTTTCTTCTTTTAACATTAAGTTACATTATAATCAGTCATAAAAGCTTATTTCAGAATTACAAACTTTTTTTTAATAAAATTCAAAAGTATGCAAAGTTTTTACAATTCTTGGTACACATTTTTTTCGACCAAGAACTTAGCACTAGTAATCAAATTTTACCTCTAACATTGAATAAATGCCCTTTACAATAATAAGCACACATTATTGGATACATAAAACAAGTACAGTTGATTATCAATAGTTCGAAAATTAAAACTTTATTATTTTTTAACAGTTATCAGTTGATTTTTGTGTTGTTTTTGTACACACATTATATAATGACTTTATGGCATGACATCTGTTTTTGTTAGACATTAAGTTTAAAAACAGAAATATAAAAATCTAATTTCTCATTCAATTGTGTTTCATTACATAAATTTTAAAAGCTGTAAATCATTGTTAATCCAATTGTGTTATATTACATACCTTTCAGATATACATTCTGCATTCATTAATAATTTAATTAAAAATGTGTTAGTTTTGTACAATTATTGCCCATTTATTATTTTCTGCCATTTCTACGGACAGAAGAGTTTTTGACAGGATGGTAAAAACTATAGATTATACTGGGGATTGTACCATGCCCACACTTTATCAATGCTAAAAAGCAATTTACCTGTTTTAATAATTCATTGAACTCTTTCTGAGTTACAAATGTATTATTTTGTACGCCGTTTTCAGTGCGGGAATGTGGTTCTACATCTGATTTCACTGGTTTTGTATATGAAACAAAAGATGACTCAATACTTTTTTGTGGTACTTCATTCTTCGTAGCTGGTGCAACAACAGGGGGGATTGCATCAGATAAGAGTTTATTGGAATGTGATTCTATATCTGATTTCACTGGTTTTATAAGAGAAACAAAAGATGACTCAACACTTTTTTGTGGGATGATCTCATTCTTTAAAGTTGGTGCAACAGCAGAGGGAATAGCATCGGATAAGTGATCTTTCTTTTCCACATCCAAAGATTTTTTGGAATTTTCCTCAAATAAAGAACTCCCTTTTACATTAGGAATTGTACCTAAAAAAAGATACATTGGTATGTTACCAGCAAAATAAGAAATCTGGTATTCTATACAATGCCCAAAATCAAAATTGACAAAGAAAAAAATTAATTGATTTTAAATTTCTCACATAGAAAGGCATCAATTTTTAGTAATCACCATGTGCTATTAAAAATTAAAAAGAAAAAAACAGAATAATTAATCAACAATGAATGTGAGGAGTAATGTCAGGTATTCAATTGGCTTATTCTCTACATCGATTTTTTTTCTTCTTCTTTTTAAGGAAAATGACTGTTGACAGATAAACGCTCATTCAGAATTCCAGACTATGATTTTCTTAAAGGTAAAAGGTGCTTGGTATTTCTTACACTAATAGTTTTCTTAATTGAATATTATTACTGATAACTTAATAAGCAGTTTAAAGTAAAATTTGTATCTCATTAAAAATTAATTTATTGAATAAAGAAAAAAAAAAATTTTTTTTTTTGGTTGTCAACTTGTAAATATTTTTTTTAAAAAGAAAAGCGAAGAAAGATTATTTTAGTTTCAGTTTTTTCAGAGTTTATTTCTCTGCAATTCTTATGCTTCTCACTTTGTCTAAAAAGACATTGTAATTGTATACAATGCTCAGGCAAGGCACACAATGCTTAGGTAAGATATACAAGGCCCAGACATTGTAGGCAATGCCGAGGTAATTTTCAATATTACTTGTAACATTTGCAACTTTGACAATGTAAAAAAGATATCAATAACATTAGATAAATCAGGGTCAGCAGATATTTCTAAACAACGAACACTTCACAATACTTGTATTTTGGCTTGATATTTTTAAAAATACACCTAAAAAATCTGATATAAAACAAGAAATGTAATTTTTAGCGCTGAAATCACTTGAATTGACAATAAGTTAATTAACAAGAATCATGTACAGTGTGCAAAATAAAAAACAGACTACCCTGAATAATTTTTGATCTAATGATTTGATCTTCACGTTGCAGGACTAAATCTTAAAGGTTTGAGGAATTGCCAACAAATATGATAATTAATTAGTTCAGACCATATTTCAAATTACGAAATCAGACACAAAAACGTTCCTTCTCTGAATAAGCATATCCTTTTTCTTTTTTTTTTTTTACAGATTTGGATATCTGGGATCCCTTAATATTAATTTTACTTTGTGTGTATTTCGCTATATCTCCAGAACTTTTTAAGCGAAATGAAAAAAATTTTGCACACAATTATAAAATTAAATCATCCAAAGAGAATTCCATGCAAAATATAATTTTTAGTAAATATTTATTGATTTTTTATTATTTTATCAAATAATAATCTAAAAAATTTTGAATTGTAAGGAACGAATTTTATTACATCATTTTAAAGGATGTAGTTTTACATGGCAAAATACAAATTTTGAGCAAAATCAGTCCAATAGTTCCTTAGAAATCAAATTTTAAAAGTCAACAAACATAACATACCTTCTTTGATAAAATTAGGTGATAACACTATGCTGACAAAAATGCACAGGGAAAAAACAAGCAAAACAATTTCTGGCTTAAGGTTTAATATGACAAGATTTTGGGGGAGGGAAAAAGTTTAAGACCTATGAAAAAATAGAAACCTAGGTGCACAATAAGTGCAATAAGAATTTAAAATTTGAAAGTTTTTACTGTTACATTTTTCAGAGCCAGGTAGAGCAAAACATTTTTATAAAAAAAATGCAAATAAATTGTGGAAAGATTTTAAAAATACAATAAATGATGCAACATAAAATAAATTAAAACATACTGTTTTTGATTGTGCTGCTCGTTTTCACTGAGGGTGGTAAAAAGGGTCTTGGAGGAGGGACTTTTGGTTTCTTCTCCAAAGAGGAAATTGCACTTGTCTGAAAACAATTATTAATGAAAATATTATTTAATGTAATTCAAATTTTTAAAGCTATTTCTAACATAACTGTTACTTATTTAAAAATTAATATATGCTATTTAATCTATATATAATACATTTTTCTGCTTTATATTCAAAAGTTATTTTTTAGGTAAAATATACCAGGTTTTGAACTATACAAGCAAAATTGGAAAAGACTTCCGATTTGTTCATAAAATGTTATTTTATTCTAAAAAAAAATGCTTGAAAACTTCCTTATCTTTTCATATCAAGCTTATATATTTTCTTTCCAGTTTAATTTTCCAAAAAATATAATACTAATATAATATAATAATATTTTAAAATACAGCTTTAAAATACAAAAATTTAATAATATTTTTAAATACAGCTTCCATGCTCAAGTTTCTATAGTACATAAAATTTTTGTTAGATTTACACGATAGTGAAAATTGAATTATAACATTGATTATAACAATAAAATAACAACTTTACTATACAATAGCTTTAATAATAAAAACATTCTTATTTAACTGAAAAATAAAAACTACTATAGATAAAATATTTTTAAATCCTGAAAATTAAGAATGCTACCTAGGTAACAATATATAATTAGATCATTTGAGATCATATTAAAAATATTTTAAACAAAAATAAACATTTCTTTGCAAAAAAAGATTCTAATATTAAAAATAAGAGATATTTCTTTGACTTACAATGACTGTTTCAGCATTTGACGAAATCATGGATTCCATTTCCGCAAGTAATGGCTCACTACGTCTTCTAGAGTCCTTAACGCTTGCACTAGCATCCTTTTCCTACAATAAAAGATGAGGGAAAAATTAATCATTTTCAAGACAAAATATATTTTACTAAATGTAATTGAATAACATGCTTATTTTCTAGAATAAACATATAAAATTATACTCAAACATGGACTATGGTGCTATCACAATCTAAAATATTTTATATAAAAAAAAAAGACAAGTAAGCTTTTTTTTAAAAAATATATTCTGTTTAAACAAATTTAAGTTACTTTGATTTTATAACAGTTTTTTTTTTTTTTTTAAATTTTTATTTGTTCAGATTGCTTCATTTTTAAACAAAACAATACAATTAAAAATTGTCTTAACTGATTTGATAAACAAATTTTAGCTTCATAACAAGTTAAAGTTTTTAACTTATTTCATAAAATATGAGTTATGTAACAAAAAAAAATAGTAAAAAGCCCAAATTGTTTTAAAAAATATCCGTCACATACTTAAAAGCAGTGATCGGAACTAATGCTCTACAAGTAACAAAACTACTGTAGTCATTACTTTTTTGTAATGTAATGCACTTCGATTTTTAAAAAAAAAGTAGAGCAGTAAGTTATACAATAAATATAAAAATACTTGAGTTTGTTGTGATTATCTGCAACTACTTTTTACACTAGCTAAGTCTAGGAACAAGGTTCAAACATAACTAATTTTTAGAATCTGTTTGTAACAAATTTCACATGAGGCTATCAGTGAACACAATGAAAATGTCCCTGATGCATATATTACTTAGTTTTGTTTCTTTTCAAATAAGTTAACTAAAATTTCAAAGACTTAACAAAATCAAAAATATTTGATAATTTAGTAGCATTTCTTTAATAATAAAGTAGTTGTAGTTAACAACAAAAATAATGTAGTTTTTTTAACCACTAAAGTAACTAAACTAAAAGTAACTAAAAGGAACCAAAATATGTCATTCTTTTTCGTCACTGATAAACTAAAACCAAATTTAGGATAGAAACTGGCAATTTCATTGATAAACAAATCAATTTTCTTTATAATTGTGTTAATGGAGAAATAAGTTTTGTACAAATATCTGGCATGAAATAGCAAAGAAAAATAAGGAGAAGAAACAAGTGGCAAAAAAATTAAAGTACAGCAAATTTACTAACTAATGATATTAAATTGCAAAATATCCAACTAAATGCTCTTCAAGCGTTATAAACTTTTAACAGAAGTATTGATATATCATATCACTAACAGAGCAACAGCTCAGAAAATGCAACATTTGAATATTAGAATGTGAAATATCTTTAATTAAATAAGATTTACTACAGCATAAAAAGATTAATACAAATATGAAAGAATTGGATAAACATATTATAGAAACCTAGATTGTCAAAAACTTGGAACTTCACAAAATTTAATTAGTGAATGATCCTCTAACAAGGATTTAAAAATTTACTAATTAAGATTTATTTTAAGATTTACTAATTAAGATTTGAAGATTAAGATCTTGAAAAGTAGATGGAAAAAAAATTGCCACTTTGGTTACTTTTCAAAATTTTAAAAAATATAACCGAAAAATATAACCGAAAAAAGTCTAGAATAATTAAAAAGCAGAAAATTTGGATCTAAGAAAGAATCTGAAAACTAATAAACAAAAATACACTTTTTTCCAAAAAAAATTTACTTTAAGAGTATTAATTTTAATGAAATACATACATTTTCTTTAAGAAAGATAAATGAAGGAGGTCTTCTATTAGGTGCTTTGGCCCGACTTGCCGTCAAATGAACAAGCTTTTTACTGCTTGTTTCAATCACATCAAAGTCAGGTTGAGCTACAAAGAGAAAAATTTATATGACTTAGTATGAAAATTATTATTAAATATATACTTCGAATTAAATATTAATTACCTTTAATATCAGTTGTCTTATCTTTTATATCAGTTGTGCTATCGCTCGGTTTCTTTTCTTCTACTTTTTCCGATGATGGTGGAGGATATGTTGGTAAAGGTGGGCTAGCTTCTGAAATAGGACTTTTTACACTAGCAACTGTTGCAGGGGCATTAGTGAATCCTGATGTTTTTGAAGCAATGGACACTCTGACAGGCTTTTTCACTGGATGAGGGGGTTGTGGTTTTTTGCTGGGGCAAGGAGGAAGAGGCCGTTCTGAATCTAAATATTAAAAAAAAACAGCATAATGATCCCAGATAAAAGTAATTAATTAATGCACAGCTGTTTAAACACACCAAGCTACTTTTTCAACAAAAAATAACACATATTTTTACTATTACTTTCCATTATAACACATTTACTGCAATAATATATTTCTGCATTCAGTGTCATGGTGAAAATAATGATACATGTTAATAGTGTTGAAACAGCAGAGTTTCAAATAATGTCTAGTTATGTATATTTTTATATATATATATATATATATATATATATATATATATATATATATATATATATATATATATATATATATATATATATATATATATATATATATATATATATATATATATATATATATATATATATATATATATATATATATATATATATATATATATATATATATATATATATATATATATATATATATATATATATATATATATATATATATATATATATATATATATATATATATATATATATATATATATATATATATATATATATATATATATATATATATATATATATATATATATATATATATATATATATATATATATATATATATATATATATATATATATATATATATATATATATATATATATATATATATATATATATATATATATATATATATATATATATATATATATATATATATATATATATATATATATATATATATATATATATATATATATATATATATATATATATATATATATATATATATATATATATATATATATATATATATATATATATATATATATATATATATATATATATATATATATATATATATATATATATATATATATATATATATATATATATATATATATATATATATATATATATATATATATATATATATATATATATATATATATATATATATATATATATATATATATATATATATATATATATATATATATATATATATATATATATATATATATATATATATATATATATATATATATATATATATATATATATATATATATATATATATATATATATATATATATATATATATATATATATATATATATATATATATATATATATATATATATATATATATATATATATATATATATATATATATATATATATATATATATATATATATATATATATATATATATATATATATATATATATATATATATATATATATATATATATATATATATATATATATATATATATATATATATATATATATATATATATATATATATATATATATATATATATATATATATATATATATATATATATATATATATATATATATATATATATATATATATATATATATATATATATATATATATATATATATATATATATATATATATATATATATATATATATATATATATATATATATATATATATATATATATATATATATATATATATATATATATATATATATATATATATATATATATATATATATATATATATATATATATATATATATATATATATATATATATATATATATATATATATATATATATATATATATATATATATATATATATATATNTTTTACTATGTCTTTTATAAACTCTTCTTCTTTTACTTGCTCCAATTTTATTGTTATTTACTTTTGTACTATTTAATTGGTTTTAAAAGTAATGTTTTTAAATGTTTTACAATATTGTTCTCTTGTAAATTTTGCACGTTTATCTTTTAAATTGCTCTTTTAAATTATTCTTTTAATTGACACTTTTAATATATTGCTGTTTTAATGTTTATCACCTTACATGATTTTAGCTGTTCTACGCCCGCCATGTTCATGGGCTGTTGCCATGTCTGATGTGTATTTTATGTAATTTATGTTTGTACTGTTCTCTGGATTTTTTTTGATTTTAATTTTTTTTGATAACCCTAAATAAGGGCGGGTCGGGGTAAATTCTTCCATATATATATATATATATATATAAATTGGATTGAATGTAGAGTTTACAGCAAACTAGAGAAAAAAATACACACACATACAAACAAAACTGTATGCTGATAATTAAATCAAACAGCATTGCAAACTACACCAGATGTGAAAAAAATCATTAAAGGAACAAGAAAAAATGTGTGAAATGATCACTATGGTATGTCAATGTCTTAGGATCAAAATTGTTTGCTTTTAAAAAAATCTTTTTAAGGGAAATTTTGATTGAAGTATGTCTCCAGTATGTCTCAAAGATCACGATAAAGTGGTACAACTAAATAATTCAGCAAAACTGTTTTTTATTTACCACAAAATACAATATTACAGATGCTTCACCACTGATTAAAAACCTTTTTGTAATGCATCACAGGGGATCATTTTAGATGATATTTGAGTCTGTTAACAAGCCCTTCATAAAAAATCTCAATGGAAAATAAATAATCATTAGAGTAGAACATAAACAAAATTTTTATTATGGAAACGGTTCCTTCAAAATACTCTAATAATAATATCTATAATTCATAATTTTGAAACAAAAACACCTTGAAAAACATGTTTTCTGTTTTTCTTTTCTCAAAAAAAAATAAAACCTTATTTTCCTTTACTCACAAAATTATGAAATTTTTCACAAATATGGCTCTCTTATAAAAAATGTTAACAAACGTCTATTTTTCGTAATTTTTTAAAAAATCAGGTCCATATTTTAACAAATTTTCAAAATTATAAGTAAATTTTTTATTATTTGTAAAATCAAAACTTTCACAAAAAGTCTTTCAAAAAAATCCTATCCACCCAAAAGCATAAAAACCATAAAATTTATTTTTTAAAAAATTACAATTTTCAGATGATAAAAAAATTTTTAAAAATGTAAAAACAAAATTTTTCTAAAAAATATAATCTGCAGTATTAAACAAAAAGTATTAACACGAACATTTCACAGAAATTTTCTGAGAAAAAAAAATGCTGAAGAGGTTATAAATTTTTTCTTGATTAACATTAGAATGAAACATTAAGAGAGACTATATATATTTTTAAAACTGAATAGGATATAAAAATTACATTCTTTTTGAACTTGCATTAAAAACCATGTGTTACTTTTGATTTGCAACAATTTTTATTTATTTTATTTATACCTGAACATAAAACAAATATTTGCATATTTAATAAAGTTCAAAATGATTGATGGGATTAAAATAAAAAAATGTATAATAAATAAAGATAAATTCAATTTCATCAATTTTGTCAATTGAGGAGAAATATTATAAGAAGTTAGACTAATATAAACACTATATTTTATAAATTACTAAAATCGAAAGTTATTATACCTTTTTTGTGCAATTCAGGAGGAGGAGGCTTAGCAGGAGGCGTTTTGGTTACTTTTTTGTCAACCTTAGGGGAGAATTCAGAACTGCTTTTCTCAGGTGTTACACTTTTTAAATTTATTTTTGAAGCTATTACAGTAGATGGCTTATCGGGCCTCTCGGGTTTCTTCTGCTACATATGAAATAGAAAATAGGTAAGCACAGATAAAATTAACAAAATCAAAAAATTTTATTATTTAAGATTACAATAAATTATTTTCAACCATAGTAATTATTTACAAAATTAACAATATGAGACATAGCTGAAGAAATTATATACATAACCTTAATTTATTTATATTTTAGCTGAAGACCAAAAATAAGGAAAATCTACATCATTTATTAATGCACTAAATTACACTAAATTATAAATAACTTATCTTTATCTTTAATATTATTCATAATAAATCCCAACAAAATAGTGTAAATTGGATGTAAATGCCTTGCCTATACAAATTTAAATAAATAAATCAAAATAAATTATTCTTCTTTGAATCAAATTCATGCTTATAATAAATCATAAAGCAATAAAAAACATCAAAATAAATTATAAGAAAATATGCCTATCGGATTTAGTGCAACAATGCAGAACGTATTTTAAAGGAAGACTTATTTAACAAATTTTACATGAACAAGATTAAGTTGTTCTGATGCCAACACAACATTCCTTGTAATAATATGGATGCTGTATTTTCTTACAGTCATAATAAAACAGCACAAAAACCTATCACACAATAAAAATGAATAAAAAACTACAGTCAAATTCATTTATAACTAGGACGAAGAGACCACGAAATTTGCTCATTACAAAAGAGTGCTTGTAAAAGACGGGATGATGAAAAAAATCATACAACTTCATGAACACTATTGACACCTATATGCAATGGGTATTGAAACTAATCCTCATTGCAGAGATTGTCACCTTGAAGAACAGACATCACTAAAACTCCCTNAGAATACCCGGGATGATCCGAGTGCTTGTCTAGTGTTTCCTCGCGCTCGGCTCCAAACGGGAAAGCAAGATGTTTTCGTTCCAGCAAGAGTATGGATGGATTTTTTAGCATTTATACCCGAGAAATTCGCGGCGAGGATTGTGGATTACGTATAACCGTTTTTCTGATAAATTTTTTTGACACCTATTCGACTTTTTTGGTTTGTATTCGAAAATGATATTTTGGAATCAGCTGCGTGCCCCCCCTGCAACAGTCTCGCGCCCCCCTAGGGTTGCGCGCCCCACAGTTTGGAACACACTGCTGTAAGGTATTTGCTGAATTTTTTTTCAGCTATAGGGCTTTCTTGCTGATCATGATTTAAGGTTTGCGTACAATAGACCTCTGGTCGATGCTTTTGGAATTGGCCAACATCTAAGTCTAAACACTTACTAAATTAGAAATATAGTACTTACTTTATTTATTTTTTATTTCTCTATAACAAAAATTAGTTCATTTGCTTTTCAAGTGTCTAATTGTTTCTTTGTTATGTTCTTTGGATGAAACCCCAAAAAACATTGTCAACATTAAAAAGAAATTTGTCTACCCAAAAACCATCAAAAAGTAATTTTTGTAAGGAAGGAATACCTCTACTACAGAGGTATAATTAAGTATAAATTTTATAAATCCCAAAAATAACACTCGCTAAAACCAGAGTTTGCTCGTTAAAAGCAAGTTATCCTCCAATATTTCTTCATTAAATCTGGGTTCTTGTTAAGCCACGGCTTGTTATAAGTGAGTTAGACTGTATTACTTTAAAAAGACTATTAGAATAATATGCAAATTGACAAAACTTACTTCTTCTGTTTTTATAAGTTTAACAAAGTTATCTGGAAAAACTCCAATTTTGTTGTTCAATTCTCCTTTCCACCATCCTTTATCTTCAACTTCTTTTGATATCACAATGATAATATCACCTTCTCTCAAAGAGAGTTCATCCTCATTTTGGGCTTCATATGGAAATAGAGCACGAGCTTGCTCTCGCACTAGAAAACAAAATTATCATTATTGGTAAATTGTTCGTGTTAATATAGGTTTACAAAATTGTCATCAATACTGAATTAACACAATGAATATGTAGTGTATCTACCACTACAAAAATACAGTTCCAATTCAAGACATATTAACTCGTTTCTATTTTGGGGTACCTTTTCATAGACAAAGGTTGACATTGTCAATGCGACTCTCCCCACATTGGTGACCTGGGCATGATGTGAACACGCCTACCTTGACAGAAACACCCCATTTGATTTTAACACACCTAATAAGATGGATGGTTCACATTAAACAATTGACTTTCGTTTTGTGATTGTGACATTATCCCTGTCCTTGCTCTGTTGCTACTCACTCTCTATCACACACAATGTCGGCCTGAATATACTCGACTGCTAATGGCAATACAGAAGCGATCATGACCAAAAACTTAATATAGCTCTGACGATCAGTACTCAAAAGTACAGTGATCTCAATACAGCTCTCCCGACTTCTCACTAAACAGCAATTAATCAACTAGTGGTATCCCGTTCATCGAATTCTATCACAGATGAAATTCTGATGGGGGAGTACTGTAGCGTATCTACCACTACAAAAATACAATTCCAATTCACTAGTATATAAAACATATTAACTCGACTCTATGTTGGGGTACCTTTTCATAGATGAAGGTTGACATAGTCGACGCGAATCTCTCCACAGAGTAAAATAGTGATTCAATAAAATAACAGAAACTCAACAAATCCTAAACTAATTTCTAAATAAATTTAAAAAATTGTAACTGTACCTATTCATAAAAATATAATTTTAACATAGTAACAAATATAAAAGATTTAGGTTCTCTCAAAAATATAAAATGCAATTATTATTTTTTTTTAAGGTACCTGGTTTGGGTGGTAGACGGGGTGCAGAAGAATCAGCAAGTGGCTTCTTGTTAGGAGTTATAATCTTTCATGAAAAAATAAATAATAAATTTTATTTCAAATATTAAAATGCTAAAATAATATCAAGTTAACATAGTTTACAGTAGTATTTTTGAAATATAAAAAACAACCTAAAATACCTTGTTAATAAAAATCATACATAATACAAATAAGAAAATAGCATTAAATGAGAGTTACGAAGAATTAAGAACTTAGATGAATTCAAAGTTTTCCTTTTCTACTTGTAAGTTAGCTCCAATGAAACAAAGGCCATATTATCAGGGCTTCATCCAGGTCGATTTTGGTACCGTTTTTCGGTACCTTCACAAAAAAAATTTTAAAAAATCGGTACCTTCACAAAATAAAATCAAATCAGTATTTCAACAAACTTTGGAAGAAAAAATACGCATCTTCACGAAAATAAAAATAAAAAGTTCGAAGAAATTAAAGTGCTGAACAGTTTTCCGAGCTATTATTATTACCGGTTATTATAATTTTATCTATGTATTCTGTATTTCTATTACTTTTTCAACCATTAATTCAAAAGTAAAAGTTAGCACAATATCAAAATAATAATTCCTTATCATAATAAGTTCAATAAATTTTATTAGTAAGTAAGTTAAAAAAAAATTTTAAACTTTACAGTACCGCTCAAAAGTATCAGTACACCTAGAAACTTATAAAAAAATGGCAAAATTCAAAGTGTCATAACTTCTTTAAAAATGATCAAAAATGCTTATTCTTTAGCTCATTTTGAAGCTTAAAGTCTCTACTTTTATGTACTGTAATTGTTTTTAATTAATATATTTTGCAACTATGTTCAATTACACTCTAAACAATCATAGAAAATTGTATTAATTTTTTGTGCAGTTTGACGCGATGTACGGGCACAAAGGGGTTAGATATTGTTAATTTTTATTATACCATTGAAAAATTTGGACTTTTAGCTTTCATTTAAAAAAAAATTCCAAAAAAACATGTTTTTTGACGAAGTTATTGTCAAATAAAAAAAAA